AAGGAAGGAAGGAAGGAAGGAAGGAAGGGCTTAAATTACTTTACTGGAGTTTTAGTCAAGAGTGGCAGGCCATAGCATGCTCTTTTGGGAGCCTTCAGGAACATCATAGTATTGTGTCACCAAAATACAGTGGCATGCTTTCTCAGTTGTTGTTTTAAGTAAATGTGTCCATTAACCTCCCACACATTTAACTGAACAATTTGAATGTTTAAAAAATGCATTTGTCCACCCTACACCAGATAGCAGGGACAGAGTGTTGCAGGTACTCACTCCAAATGTCACAACTGTGATTATATTCTTGTCAGTAACTCTGTCTTGTCTGGAAGACTTTGATTTTCAAGGATAGTTATGCCCCTCCAATGATGGTATTTTACAAAATGCTGAAAATTGTACTCTTTGGGAAGGCATTGCAGTTCAGCTGACAGTAGCAAGAGTAATGGTCATAGTTTTTATTCATGGCATTTACTGGAGGGGTTTTTTTTTAATGGGTTTGGGTTCATGCATATTTTATAGATTTATATTTAGAGGAGTTTATTGTAAGCCTTTATTGTAGAATTGTAAGAATAAGCAACTTACAGATGTTTGCAAATAAATAAATAATTTCGCCAAACCCCTTCCAGCCTTGAATAACGTAAAGGATGACTCTCCCCTTTGATTTAAATAGCACGTTGTGTACCCCCAAAAGCAAAAGACATTACAATAAAAGAATTAAAATCTATAAGGACTTTTGGGAGCCTGGCTTGTCAATCTTGAATTCCCCATAGTTCTGAGATTTTGATATAGTGTTCACACTACATTTGAGCATCTGTAAGCATCATTTCCAAGGTGTGGCTGCAGAGGAAAGGCTTGCATGAGAATTGCCCCTCGGGGTCACCAGTCTTCTACTGAATGGATTGCGCTGTGTTCAAATGTTAAACATAGAGTTCATGTGCATGCAGGAGTTCACACTTCAGGCAAGCTAAGAGTCAATAGTATTCATTGACCTCTTGTGTAACCTTGGCTCTAATATCTCCTTCTGTCATCTTTATTTTGGTCAAGGAAAAAATAAGCAAGAAAATGAAATTTGGGAGCTTAGGCTGGAAGTGTCAGGTGGCCTCCAAACTGGACATTTAGGGGAATCTGAAGTGAGTCTGAATATTGTTAGTTGTCTTTCAAAAGATGTCCAGCTTGCTAAGCTGTGCATCCTGGTACAATTAACTCCAATGTGCATGTGATAAAAAAAAGAAGAAGAAGAAGAATCTCTGAATGCTATTATGGAGCAATTATCAGATGCTTCAATTGTGTTTGAGTTATCCCTCCTGGGGTTTATGAAAAAAGGGCCTTTCAGCACAAAGGCCAGTGGAAATTCAGAATTTGTGTTGATGAACTCATGTCAAATTGCCTGTCTTAATTGAATATTTCCAGCAGGAGAGAAAGGAAGGGTAAATTCAACGTGGACTTCCAAATCAGGATCAGGTTTTCTCATGAGGACAAGAATTGTTCCAAGACCCAACTGCAAAATAGCCATTTTATACTAGAGAATGGAGGTTGCCTAATGTAGAGGGTTGGATTCTGTTCTGCTTTCTGTCATTTCTATCTTGTGCTGAAGAAGTCGCACTGAAAGCCAACAGATCAAGCTTATTGAAATGAGGAGGTCTAATGTCTAGGGCAGTGTTTCTCAAACTTGGCAACTCTAAGATGTGTGGACTTCAACTCCCGGAATACCCCAGCCAGCCTGGGCTATTCTTTTCAGATATGCTGGGTGTCAGTACTCAAAACTCCCAGTCAGCATGGCCAACAGGATATGAACATGAAGAGTTTTCTCCCCTCCCTGCCCCCCCCCGCAACATTTCTTTCCAGCCACCTTTTTTAAAATGTGGGTTTCTTTCCAATTTTGTAGCATAAAGAAGATATGCAATGAATTTTACTTTTTAAAGAAGGGAAGGGAAGTCTAATCAAAGCACATCTTATACAATTAAACAATTAACACTGTAGCCATTTTAGTGAATAATAGAAAAAAACGGGAGATCAGGCATATAAACTAGTATGCACAACCCACATTTTTACAGTACATAACTATCTAAACAAGTCTCTCAATGGTAAAATGTTTTGGTTCAAGCATAGAAAGAATGTCATAGCTGTGCACATTATTTTTTTCCATTTAAGCATCAGGGAAGGTTATGCTTTTAGTATTCACTAGATCTACTGAACATCTGTTTGTTTTTTCTCTCCTATAGGGATGACTTGCCAGGCTCGGAGCTCCTACATGGACACAGAAGTGCTTTGGGGACACCGTTTTACCCCTGTCCTTACCCTAGAGAAGGACTTTTATGAGGTTGACTACAACAGTTTTCATAGTACCTATGAAACCAATACACCTTCTTGCTGTGCCAAAGAACTGGCTGAGTCTTTCAAGGAAGGACGGCTCCTCAGCCACCTATCTACCACGAACCTCCTGAATGGAGAGGAAACAGAAGAAGCAGAAGAGGAGAAAGAACAGCAGGAAGGGATGGAGAAAGAAGAGAACAGAAATGAAGGCCTAGAAGCAATTGAACTGAATGGAACCAATGGAACAACAGGAGAGATGAAGGAGAGCCTGTTTTTAAAATAGTAAGACTTGAGGAATGATAGAAAATTCAGACTCCCTTGCCATGGAGGAGGCAGAAGAAGAGGTGGGACAACCTAAGTCTAGAAGATAATGTTCTCACTCCGATGGGTATTACTGGATTGAGCTGTACCTCTCCATATAATTTTAGTTTCTCCATTCCATTCTGGAGATTACTATGAGGATTTTATTCACTGTTTTGAGGATACATGAAAACTAACCAGCTTAAGGAAATATAATGGCAGTGTAGATTATCATTTATCTTGAACTGTCCCCCCCCCCCCCCCTTGCAATGTGAGTCTTCTGCACAGAGGGAGGAATTTTAAAGGGGAGGGGAGACTTGGCAAAACAAATGTAGCTATGAAATTCTTCTGTCCTTAATTTATTGGAAATGCTAATTGCTGAATAAAAAGAGAAAAGGGGAAATGGGGGTGGGGAACAGGCCTTCTGTATTTGGCCAAGTGTCTGTTGTAACTTTCTGTGTGATGGGACATAGGTGTGATCATTTATCTTTGAGATTCTGTCTACTGTGACTTCAGCCAAAATAGGAAAAATTATCATTCAGTGGAGGAAAGGAACTCACTTTCTGATCCGAAGCATTAGTGGTTTGTTTTTCCTATTATGATTTATGTAAAAGGTAAACAGGGGCAACTAATGTTCTAGCTTCAAATGAATTAGGAACTCAATGGCTAATTGGCTTTTTGGTTGTCTAAAGGACATTTTGAAACATGTTCTTTATTTCTTAGACTTCTATCCTGCCTTACCCCCAGGCATTCAAGCTAGCATCCATAACATGTCCTCCTTCAACAATTCCACACAGTTTCAGCTACCTTTTGAGATAGGTTGGGTTGTGAGAGAAAGACTCGCCCAAAGGACCACACAATGGCTGAAGTTGGACCTGAATCATAAAATCTAGATTTGAATGTTGGCATGCAGTCATCAAGTCTAGCTTCCAGATTTATATTTTATTATGTTAAGTATCACATTAATACAATTAAATATAATTCATGTTTATTCATCATATTTACAGTATGTTGGTCAGGTTGTCAGAGCATTGCATCCTAGAGGAAGATATCAGCTGTCTTAGCTAATTATAAAGTTGATATAAGTCCCTCCACCAATTAATCAATTTATTTTTTGTCCAGTCAGGACAAGATTCATCATCAAATCCTAACCAATTATTTGTGTGTTGGTGGGGGTGATGTAAAAAAACCCTGGAATGATGGGAATTGGAAGACTAAAATAAAAAGGTGAAAACCCTGAATAGGCACACCCACATTGGACCATCTTGAGGTATCTGCTCCTGAAATGCTGTTAAAAGATGTCCAACTGCTTTTATACCATTTATTTCCTGCATTTGTCAGTGTGGTACATGGCCCCTTTACAGCAAAGAATCTGAAGTGGGGAGAACTTGCTTGCAGTTGCTTATAAAAATAAAGACTGAACTGGATTCTGAATGAACTTTTGTGTCCATCAAATCTGTCATCCTGTCCACAGTGCTTCTCTGGCACCTCCTATGATATAAATTGGTGGCCTTTTCCCAAATCCCAATATTCACATTATTTTTGCAAACAACAATGGCATCCAATCATCTACTACCATACCTTCTTTGAACAAAATGACAACATCATTCCAAACAAGATAAAACCATAGGGATATACATTTATGGCACTTTTTTTTAGGAAGAAATGGCCAAGAGAGCTCAGTGAAATTTCACTCCACTAAGAACTTTCTCGCAGCCTTGCAATGGGCTCGGCAATGAGTTCCCAGAAATGATTATCATACATTTTTTATCCATATTTTGACTCTGAATGTGACTGCCAAGTGTGTTGTCACTGGTCAACAAGAAAAAGGAGAATCAAAGAAGCTGTTTACCCAGATGCAGCTTATATGTTCACACATTTATTTCCTCATTTTCTTCCCCCTTCTGTTTCCACCTTGTCATATTGCTCTTGGTCTTCTCCAGTCAAACTCTGATGCTTTTTTTCTTTGTTTGTCTGAAGTTCAACCCACACAAATGGAATCCAAAATCTGTCTGGAATCTTGAAAGTGACGACAAGGAGTTGGGGGGTGGGGAGGGGAGATTCACCGGCAGATGAAAATAATCTGTAAAAAGTCTCTGGCAGAATCTATTCTCATTTGATCCAACACACTTTTCCTCTGTAAAAATTATCCCTTTGGGATGGAGAGAGATGACACTAAATGTGCCCTTATGATAAAGCATGACTCTAGGAATGCTAAATTCCCACTGGATTCCATGAGATTTTTTCTTTGGACCATTTTTCAATGGAGGTACGCAGGGTGGTTCTCAATCTTAAATCAGCCTCCTTCAAATTGGTGCCCTATGATGTTTTGGTCTACAATTTCACAATCTCCTGGTGACATGGGGCTTATGAAGTTGAAGTTCAACCATACCAAGTATATCAGTGGTACCCACTGCTGCTTTTAAAATACTGTTGGGGTGTGTATGTCTGTGAACATGTGCATACATGTGTGAGAAAGAAAGTGTAACAGTCCAATCCTAGGGTGATTGAGGAATAATATCCTGTGGACCTTTAAAAGTGAGCAAGGAGGTTGTTTACTACAGAACTCTAACAAGCCAAGTTGTTTCCTATTGGCTGTGACCTGCTATGGTCAAATGCTTCTGATTTAAAAACTATCAAGGAAGAATTGAAATATTTTGTCAAGCATTTATAATTACAGTAGTCCTCGACTTACAACCATTTGTTTAATGACTGTTCAAAGTGATGACAGCACTGAAAAAAGTGACTTATGACCAGTCCTCACACTTACAACTATTGCAATATCTCTGTGGTGACGTGATCAAAATTCGGGCACTTGGCAACTGGCATGTATTTATGACAGTTGCAGCATTCCAGGGTCACATGATCACCATTTGTGACCTTCCTGGGGACTTCCAACAAGCAAAGTCAATGGGGGAAGCTGGATTCGGTTAACGAACACATGATTTGCTTAATGACCGTGATGATTCACTTAAGAACCGTGGCAAAAAGGGTTGTAAAATTGGCCATCACTCACTTAACGACCGCATCACTTAGCGATGGAAGTGCTGGTCCCAATTGTGGTTGTAAGTCAAGGACTACCTGTAGTGGCCAGTACTCTATGCCCACACAGTTCAAATACAGCACCATATAAGAGCTAGATTCTGTGAGCTTTGTAAATTAATATATACTGGTTTGTCCCTATTTTGCCTAATTTATTTTGGCTCTGTGAATTATGAGGAAGGGCAAAAAGTTATGCATGACACCTAGATATTGCATTTTCTTGACAAGATGTTATGTACTCAATTTTTTTAAAGTATGCAGAAATATGTGACTTGCTAATGCTCACACCTGTCCACTGAATTGCATTTTTGTTTAGTGAAATTCATGCAACTTTTCCTTTTCCCCTTAACATAGAGTTCACAATGATCCGTAGGGTATACAGCCTCCATTCAAGCAGAATTATGTTTTGAAAACTTGCCTCAGTTGCCCTCCATTGTATTGATCAACATAGCAGCATTTTGATCAATGCAACAGCTATTAGTGGTGATTTCTTTTTCTCCAGTGCCATGCAAGAGAAAACCAAATGTAATAGATAAGAGCTTTATCATGCTGTCCTATTATTGAGTTGTGAAAGGAAATTAAAAACAGGTAGATGGCCTATATGGAAGTTTTTATGTTCTGTTTGGCTTGGTTTGCTCGGCTTCTCCTATTCTTTTTTCTGTAAGCAAAATCCTGTTAGAACACTGGGCCCGTTGATCCGAGATTGAGACGGAATTCATGTTTGGTCGTCTGGAGTTTATTTTTCCCCAAAGTAGCAGGGTATTTTGTTGCCCTTCTTCATAACTTCACAGAAGGCATCTTGGTTTTAAAGTGTCTTTATCTGGAACAAACATTGCAGGGGGTTATCAGAAGAAGTTAAATATTAATGGCCACCTTTAGAGACTTTAGACATCCTCATCATCAACAACTATCACTGTTCATCAGATAATCCCAGTTTCCCAAAATAAAACAATACGGAAAAGTGAAAACCAGTAAAAACAATACAAAAAGCAATTCAAAATCAGCAGCAGCAGCAAATTTACCAAAAGCTTCCAAAGGATTAAAAAAAGCGGGGGGGCAGTGAAACGATACTCTTTAAGAAATCACTACAACAGAAATGTTGGCAATCCTCAATCTATTTCCAAAGTATGTAAACATAAGGCCCCTACCCATAAGAGGCCTTTCCTTCTGCCATTCCTGCTTTTGAACTAGAGAATAAACCAGGGAAATCCAGCTAGATGTATTTGAACTTTCTCAAATCCAAAATGTATGTGCATAGCCAAAAGATGTTATCTAATATTGTTTCTTTTCTTCTTTTGTAGTCCCACTTCCCGCTCCCAAAAAACCCCATCACCCAAACCACCTATAGAACTGAACAATTTAAAATAATAGGCAGGTTTCTCAGACAAGCAAAACACTATTTAAAAATAGCAGATTAAAACTGTGATAGATTAAAAGCTGGGATTCCCAACAGTTTTCCAAGGGAATCAGTGGGGCCATAAGAATTTTTGCAGAGAGCCAGTTAGGTTTTTTTCAACCTTTTCAGAAACTTTTCTTAAGTTTTGCCAGAGACACTGACTCCATTTGTCTTCTTTCCTTCCTGGAAGGAAATTATCTCTGTCACCATTGAGGACTTTTGGGATAATCTGACCTTCTATAGAACCACCTTACCAGAATGTTATCAAAATTTAACTGATGGTGTCATCAGATCTTAAAATTTTTACAGCAGCCATCCTGACAGTTTGAGATACTGAAACCTTTGCATCAAGATTCAAAGATTTAAAGTGTTTGCATTCAGAGGCACTGAAAAATTATTCAACCAACCCCATAGCCATACCTCTTTCTATAGAATGGGAAAATCCAGCCTTCATATGAAGATGTACCCTTTTGCTTACATCTAATTCCAAACACAGAATCTCCTTTTTGCTTCCTAGATGCTATATTTCTCACTGCTTCTTATCACCCATTTATTATTTAGCATTTTCATTAGCAACAGGAACACTGAACCACAGAGATGAGATTAGAGTGAATGCTATTTGTGCTGGAGAAATTAATATCATATGATAAGCTTCCTGTGCTTCTGTTGCTGGTGGCATCTGGAGCCAACAGGAAGAGACAGGAAGGCATGTTGTCAGAAGAGACAAAAGCAGCAGTTTGGCACGTGCTTGGGAGGTTAACTTAATTAAGAGGCAAGGAAAATTGAAAGAGCTCTTGATCTATTTATAACAGCATCCCCACTTCCTGAAATCAAGGCCATATGAAAGAGAACAAATGTGCAGGAGCTGGGCTTTCCTTGCCTGTTGCACCAAGATGAAACAAGCATAAGCTCAAGGCTGGGCTGTTGATCTGAGATTGAGATGGAATTCATGTTTGGTCATCCGGAGTTTATTTTTCCCCAAAGTAGCAGGGTATGTAGTTGCCCTTCTTCATAAGTCCAGCAAGTCTCTGAACCCGGAGAGGAAATTTGCCCTGTCCAGGTCAAGGTGATGAGCAACCATAGCATGTGGGCCACATGGTTCACTGAAAACCTGGTGGCAAAATGGCCAATTTTCATAATGCCATTTTTCAATGTTCTTCCTCAATTATAGTAACAGGAATGGGAATAGGAGGCCTTTTGGAAACATCACATCTCTGCAAAGGTCTTCAGTTTGTGAGAGGAGGGATTTGCAAGTCTCGACCCAAAAGAAGTCTCTCACATGCATACACACACACTACTGTAGACTATAGAAGGATCAATGCCAATGCCTGGCACTTGGGGGCAGTTTTCACATTTCCTCCACTTACAGATCTCACTGCTGATACTTCCCTACCATCCTCTTAAAAAGAAAGCTGATTCAACACACCAATTAATGATAAACAGCTGGTGCTTTGTGGAAACTAAAGAGGGAGGAGACTAAACATAGGCCTCTGCCAGGGTCTAACAGCAGAGAAGATCCACCAGAGGACACTTTACCTGGGGGAAATCTAGAGCCATATAGTTATAAGCCTGAGGCTTATAATCACATATGAAGTTGCAGCTATGAGGAATCTAATCTTGCTGGTCCCTCACTACAATTCTTGAGTGCACAGAAAAAAGATCTAGCAGAATTTAAATAAAGGTAAACGAGGCCACAAGAAGAAATGAACTGAAGATGAAACAAATTCCATATTTGTCTTACAATCCTTTGCAAATACTTTGGGATCAAAAGACAGAGCTTGTTAAGCCAGGCTGCAAAGGAAGCCGAAGAGGGAAACAGGGGGAAGCCACAGGGCTGTGATTTTTCCTAGAAACAATGGGGGCTGCCATTGCTTCCCTTCTGAGAGTGGGATCCCTCTTTGTTCCTCCCTGGCTTTCAGACCTTTCCCCTCATCCTTTAGCAAAGTGAAGCTCCCACTAAGAGAGGAAGGAAGTACAACATT